AAGTTCAAGGATAATTTTGGTACTTTTTAAAGCTGAGGGACAATTTTGGTACCAAAGTGATAAGTTGAGGGACTAAAATGGTACTTAAACCAAAAAAAAATATTGTAGCTTGTAAAAAATGAGAAACTTTTTTTTTTAATGAGGTGAACAAGGAGAAACTAAGAAGGCTCCTATCCAAACTAAAATCTTTAATTTACAATCGGGCCGGCAAAGAGTAGATGGATCAATAAGGAGGGCTGGCCCCCAATATGACTACTTTTATTTCTTAGGGAATGTTATAACATTATTTTTAATCATTAATGGAGGAATATGTTCTAATATCAGAAGTCTTTTCTCTCCATTGATAATCGAGGGAAGTTTTTTTTTTTTTTTTTTTTTTTGAACGTATTTTGCAAGGGCAGGTTTTGAACCCTGCCGGGGGAGAGAGAATGCACCGTGGCTATGCCACTAGGCCTCAAGGGCCAGTGCAAACTCTAATAATCGAGGGAAGTTTAAGTTTGTATTTGTTATATAAATGTATCAAAGCAAACTACATTTACATGCAAGAATTTAGGTTTATGATATTATCATACATTTAATTATTAATATCATATTATTTATTTTAATTAATTATTATATTATTTAATTTATTAAAAACTAAAAAAGCATAAAATTTTAAAAAATTCTAATATAAAACTATAATAAATAATTATATTAAAAAATATAACATTAATTATTCAAGATATAACAATAATCTCACTCAAAAAATCAAAAAAAATAATTAAATTAGACCTAATAAACTATGATCAATACTCATTACTAAATAATCTTTCAATTGAACCCTAAATACGAAGCTCGAAGGCAAAGAAACTCAGTCAAGTCTTAATTAATTGTTTAAATAATAAAATTTAATTAATTAATTAATTAATTAAAGGAGGGTGCCGAGGCAGCGACTAGTTAAATTACCAATTACCTAGCTAGTAATTAGGATTAGTGAAAGAAACTTTCTCCTAACCAATCACGCCATAAAAGAACCAACCGACCCTGAGGCTCAATGGTTGGTCCCAAGCCTTAGGGTTTAGGTGAGGCAGAGATCAGGGGTTCGAGCTCTGCCACCACCGTGAACTCCACCAACTTGCGATTTAATGGCCGCGCGCCTCATATGAGGGGGTGGAATGTTCACCATTCTAAGAAATCTCAGCTGCTAACAAACTAACT